CACCAGGGAAGCCCGAGAATTTTATTTTTTTAATTTTTATTATATTAAGTTTGATAAAAGATAATTATTTAACCAAAAAAACCCATTCCATGTGAGAGGGAGAAGCTGACAATAATGTTGGTTCTTCCCTAATCATTTCTGTGACATTTATCACCTTTCTTCAGAAACCTCTACATCTATATTTGAAAGAAAAAAATTGAGGAAAACAAAGGACTGAGGAGTTTGTAACTTTTTCAAAAGTATAAGGAAATAATTGTTTTATATGAATATATGAGATAAAGACTCACCTTGTCAAAATTTGAACTAAACTTTTTGTCAAGTAAGATAGCCATGATCATCAAGTATTAATTGATTATCCATTAAGGTGCAGAAAGGTGTGTTTTATGTAAAATTGTATCTAACTATAAAACCTTTTGTAAAATCTATTTATGAGGTAATAGGTTTCTGCTTTAAAATAACGGATAAAAAGATGATGTGCATTACGTGGTAAAAGAATTCCTGGATACTGATGTGATATGCTACACCCAGGAAAAAAAGGCCTTGTGATTTCCAGCTTGAATAATTTGACAGCTTGTGGGATTATTAATAAAACTAGGGGTTTCAGGGGAAGAGGGGAATATATGGAGGAATGATGATGGATGTTTGTTTTAGGTAGCACTCCTCACGGTCAGGGGTGGAGTGGCAGGGGTATGTTAAAATATTCGGGTGAAGAAGTATTAGCATTAAGGAGTTGGAAAATCCTGTTTTTGCATGAACTGAGTTTGAGGTTTTGATGGAATAGCCAGATGGAGTTGACTAGCGATAAGGTGGCAGCACAGAATTATTACCGTTTCTGAGTCCACTACGTGCTAGACTCCGAAGTAGGCATGTGGATGCACTGTCTTACCCAGCCTCAACATAGAGCTGACTAGTCTCTCTTAGGAAATTGTCCTCAGAGGGTTTGGATCATTTGGACTTAAACCCAGGCCTCTCTTTTGCCAAAGCCCCAGTTCTTATTCTGATCCCCTGGGAATAATACAGTTATTCTTATGCTATTGTATCTTTATAAGAAAAAAATGCATCTGGACTTGTTAGTGCCTTATTAAAATAGTGGAATAATACGTAGACTATACATGTTTATAAAAATAAATGGGTTATTTGTGGTTTTAACTTTCCCCCCAGTTTATCTCTCACACACAATTACTCCTTTTCTATCTACATGACATGACAGATATAGTTTGTCCCACTTCTCCCTTCCGGCTTACCTGCTGACAGTACCACCCATGACAACAGATTTAGAACTTTACAAATGTCTATTAATTTGCCATATGCTTTTAAACTGTAGTGGTTCAGAGGAAAAAAATATATCAGTGCTTAAAATATTCTTCCTAATTCATATGACTGATTCAACTTTTTTATGTAACTGACAAGTACCTAATGGAAGAATGGTGTTTACACTACACACCATGCTTAGGCTTTCCAGTTAAGCCAAGTTCCAGGTTCTTTGCTTAGAAAATACCCACCTTGAGCCTCCTAAGAAGTCATCAAAGTAGTTATCAATAGTAATGCCCCCTTATCTTGGTGGCAAACAGTGTCCACAGGGAGCTGTTAAGTTGCTTTAAATTGTTAGGCAAACTAGAGCTTACTGAGTTAAACACAAATCATAGAACAGTTTGGGATGAAAGAAAGAACTTAAAGGATTTCTCCATGAAACACAAAAATTACTTATATAAATAGTAAGACCTTTCTAGATCACAGAATCTTAGATAGCCAGACAGTGATTTTTTTTTCCCTCCCAACTCATAGCCCTTACCTAAGCAATTAAGAGATTTAGTGGGAAGTTTAGATTGATTTTAATGTGTGTGTTAGATATGTATGTGTCTGTCTAGTTAACCTAACTCGTGATATTTTTCATTCATTGTCCCCCTAGATACGAAATGTGGAAACAAATCAGTGTCTAGATAACATGGCTAGAAAAGAGAATGAAAAAGTTGGAATTTTTAACTGTCACGGTATGGGAGGCAATCAGGTGCGTATTTTAGTAAAGCTTTAAAGGGGTAATTTTTGGATTTGTTTTCATCTTCTTCCTTTTTTATTTCATGACATCATTCAGGAAATATTTTCCTACCTTTAAAGAGAAAATAATAAAGACCTTTAGGAGAATAGAGCCTTCAATCTAATGATTATTTTTTAAATGAAACATTTGTAAAAGGCCCTTTCTGAGAACTGTGTTTACATTGTTGTACATGAGATTTATTCTGCCCTTTTTGGTCAAACAGATGACAACCCTTGACAGTACACTCAGTATATACAGACAACTTAAGATCATTTTTTTTTTTCTCTGCAAAAATAGTGGTGTCTTTTCTGAGTCATTTATTCTCCATTACACTAATAAAGTTCAAAAAGCATGTATCTTGAAATACTTGTCTTTTTCTCTGCCAGATTCTTGGGCATATAAAACTCTAATTTATTTTGCTGTTAAAGCTTATATGTGTGCATTTTTGTTTTTCAGGTTTTCTCTTACACTGCCAACAAAGAAATTAGAACAGATGACCTTTGCTTGGATGTCTCCAAACTTAATGGCCCAGTCACAATGCTCAAATGCCACCACCTAAAAGGCAACCAGCTTTGGGAGTATGATCCGGTGGTAAGTTATCCAGTTGAATATAGGAATAAAATTGGGTGTCATTGGGTGTATTGTATAAAATATTTTATATCTAAAAGAGTGAATTCTTGTGGAATCTGCATATGGATCAAATTGTTCTTATATTCCAAGAACTGACAGGTAGGAAAAGCAATATACGTAAAATAAACATGTTTTAATCTCTCCAGTAATTAAATTAGAATTGCCTCCAGTCCCTGGGTCCTTGTTGTTACTATGTAATCACTCTTCCCTCCGTATGTCCTTAAGCTTTGCCAGCCACTATGGTAGAAATGGAACGGTTAAGTAGGCTTTTAAAATTACCGAATTAAACACTGAGGTAAAAGGTGAGATTTAATTAATGAAATTCTCTGGCTCAGTGATTTTTCAGTGACATATATAATAAAACTATTTGTCTTTGCTTTCCTCTGGAGCCACTCCCTCTCCCCACCTGCTATACGTTGTACTCAAATAGAGGTACTTAAAAGCAATCAAAGCATCTCCAGTAAACCCCTCTTCCTTTCCTCATACCTGGCTAACCTCCCAACTTATGCTTTTTTGTTCTGTGGTTCTGGAACCAGCACCAGCATCTTCAATATATCTTTCTCTGGTTTTTTTTCTTCTGCTTACAAGCGCTGGTTTTCTTCTTCATGTTGGGACAGACTTTTGTTCCTATTTTATTTTGTACATACCATCCTACTTTTCTCCCGTGCCGTATGATGGCGAGTGAATGGCTGGCACTTGTGCCTCTGGTTCTTCAACCTGGCTCCTGCCTTGGTCTGACACTATATAGAAACAGCCCCTGGATGCAAAGCCAGGACATTCTCGTCTCTTTTTCTTAACTTCTCTGTAGTATTTACTATTGCTAAGCAGATGCTCTTTTAAAATCCTTGTATCCATTGGCTTTAGATGCACTACTGTTTAGTTTCTTCTCTTAGCTTTTTCTCTACTTCTTTTGTCTGCTTGGCTCACTCTGCTGCTTCATTCTACCCCCTCAATGGAGATGTCCAAACCAAGTTGTGACTTTGGCTGCCTTTTCTCTGTATACTGCATCACATACAAACCCTGGTCTACTTTTCATCTTCGACCAGCTATTCCCTGAACGTATCCTGTACTTTCCCACTTTACATTTAAGATCATACAGTTCCATCTGCCTAACAAATCCTGCCTGTTCTTGAGAGCCCAGAATTGACATCATTTCCATGGATCCCAGCCAGAAATTAGCTCTCTCTGTCTTAATTACAATTGTCTCTGACCCCTGTAATTCTGTGCTTCTTTGTAGTTATTTATCTACCAGTCTTTTTCTCCACTATTAGTTAGATCCTGGAGGGCAAAGACCATGTTTTATAAATCCTGGGTCTCCCTTCACAGTATCAAACTATAGTTAAAAAAAAAGTGTGTGTGTGTGTGTGTGAGAGAGAGAGAGAGCGAGCGAGCGAGCGAGCAGTAGCTCAGTTAATATGACTGTTGGAAGTGGCCTGAATATTCTGTTGCAGGGTTTTCCATGGTGCATGCCGTTGCCATTTTGGATGTAGCTGCCCCAGGTCCTGCAGGATATATGGCATCTCTGAGTCCAGACAGTAAATGCCAGTGGCACCCCACAGTCATTGTGAAGCCAAAATATTTTGAAAATTAAAAAGCCTCCCAATTGTATATGTTCATTGAAGAATGATGGTATGTTTAATTAGGTAATATAAACCTATTTATAGTAGCATGAACAAACAGTGGTTTAGTTTTTTCTTAAGTCTGGATGTAAGTGGCTTCTGGCATGGATTCAGTGATACAGTGATGTCAGGGATAACATTGCAGCAATATTCTTGGCTTTTTCTTGTGGCCTCTAGAAGGCTGCTACAGTGCTCACCATCACACCCAACTCAAGACAGGAAGAAGGGAAGAGGAATGTTGCACTACTGTGTGAATTGCTCTTTATCAGGAAAGCCAAAGCTTTTCCTGGATCCCCTGCAGCAGGCTCTGCTGTGCCCCATGGGCCAGAACTTCATCTCATAGTGATCCCCCAGCTATAAGGGGAGGCTGGGAAAGCAGGCATTTGCATTTCCAGTCTTTATGGTGTGATGTGGCCAGGAGACAGGGAGTGGGAATGGCCATTGGCAGACTGTGTGTAAGATACACAGTCTACCACAGCAGTTATTCAGAAGTAAATGTTTGCTTAGAAATTAAGGAGCTAGAAGTGATTTAGGATATTTTGAAAGAACCAGTTATGAGTGTAAAGTTTTAAAACCCCTGGAGCACTCTGCAAGGTGTCTTCCCTGAGATTAAATTCTAGTATTGCCGGCTGGGTTCTCCCAGAAGCAGACTCCACTCCAAGGTTCGTATTCAGGATGTTTATTAGGGAGCATCCTTTAGATCAACACCTGTGAAAAGGGAGACAGAAGAATTGGCAGAGGGAGGAGTCAAGCTGCGATGTGGGTCCCACAGTCTGAGCTGACTGCACAGGGAGCTCCGGACGGCCCATCAGAGTTGTCCTGCCTCCATCAGTTGAAAACTGCAGTCTGGAAGAATAACACTTATGTCAGTAATGTATAATCTAAAGTCATGAAATCTTAGATTTCAAAGGAACCCTAGAAATAAAATTCAGGACATTGTTTTTAATACATGTAGACATTGAAGCCCAGAATGGAAGTTAATTGCCCAAGGTCACAGAGCAGGTAAATGGTGTTACCAGATCTCAGACAGACCTGGGATTCTTAATCCAGGATTCTTTGCACAATACCATACTGTCTTCTATTAAATTATTATATCTTTGTCTTGTTTATAGTATACGTTGCAGAGAGTTTACGACACCAGGCTCTTTTGCTTTGACTACTTGTAGCTGTCCTTTCTGGAATGAAAATGTAGATTTTGACACAGTTATATCTGGAGATTAGGGGTAGAGGGCGGCAAATTATTTTTTTTCTAGGTTGCAGGTGGACTTTATGCAATGATAACTATAGCTTTCATCCTCCTTTCAGAGGTTACAATTAGCCTGTTGCCTTAGTTACACTCTTTCTGTGTGGAAACTAGTCCATGCTGATGGATCCTCTGCTGAGTACGGTGACCACAGTCCCCACAGAGTCACGAGCCACAGAACTCTGCCCCTGCTGTCAGCAGCCAGAGAGCTGTGTCTGGAACAGGGCTCTTCACCAGAGTCCTGGTCTCCTGAAGGGATGTTAGCTTCCTGAAATTATAGGGATTCTGTCTTAATTTTGAGCAGTTAAATACCCAGCATGTATCAATAACCTCTGTCATTGTTACACGTTTATTTCAATGATTCTCAATAAGTGAAATAATGACATTTTTTAAAATTAGGGTGATAAAGACCAATTTCCCAACTAAGTTTTTTGTTGTGCTTTTTTGTTTTTATTAATACTGACAGTGGGCCTGATGAAGTTGGCCACTCAGAGAAGCTTTGAAGGGCCTTCTGGAATGTTTGGGGGGTTCTTTTTTTTTTTTTTTTTTTTTTTTTTTTTTTTTGCGTTACGCGGGCCTCTCACCGCTGTGGCCTCTCCCGTTGCGGAGCACAGGCTCCGGACGCACAGGCCCAGCGGCCATGGCTCCCGGGCCCAGCCGCTCCGCTGCACGTGGGATCCTCCCAGACCGGGGCACGAACCCGCGCCCCCTGCATCGGCAGGCGGACTCTCAACCACTGCGCCACCAGGGAAGCCCTGGGGGGTTCTTTTTAAAGTGCTTTGTTTTTGTCTTACAAATGACCAAAGGCCTTAGCAGCAAGCTGTGTGCCTCTGCTCTCGGGGCTGCCAGACTGTGTCCGCGGCTGCTCAGGATGTTGTATGAGTGCCTCTGAGCTGGCCGGCACTTTCTGTTCATTATCTTAACATTTCCGCACAGCTCTAGAAGCATTCTTGTCCCCATTTTATAGATGAGGGACCTGGGGCTGAGAGAGGTTTTTGCTCAGGGGCATATTGTCGACATGTGACAAATCTGGGGTTCACTACAGAAATGTCTGACTGCAAAGTGCATCCCCTCAAAACAAACTACACAGCATCTGCATAAAAGTAAAAACAGCCCCAGCCATGCTGACTTTTCCCGGTCTTTTTATGTATGTATGTATGTATGTATGTATGTATGCATGTATGGCTGCGTTGGGTCTTTGCGCAGGCTTTCTCTAGTTGCGGAGAGCGGGGGCTACTCTTCGTTGCGGTGCGCTACTCTTTGTTGCGGTGCGCAGGCTTCTCATTGCCGTGGCTTCTCTTGTTGCAGAGCATGGGTTCTACAGCGCAGGCTCAGTAGTTGTGGCGCATGGGCTTAGCTGCTCTGTGGCATGTGGGATCTTACCGGACCAGGACTCGAACCCGTGTCTCCTGCATTGGCAGGCAGATTCTTAACCACTGCGCCACCAGGGAAGCCCTTCCCGGTCTTCTTGTTATGCATTTATTGGAGCTAAAGTAAAGTATCTAACACTGACCCTTCGATATTACTGAAGTCAGTGTTGAGAGTAAACTGTGACCTCTGCGAATGTGCACTGCCTTTTGCCAGCTTCCACATGGAGCATAACACAGAAGTGACTGAAAGCTAAAGTAGCTGTATTGTATACAGTCATTAGGTTTTGCTTTGTTTGAAGTTCAAATAGGTACAAAAGAGGCCTTATGAAAATGAAGTGTTCCTTATGAAAATTAAATGAGATAAAAGAATTACATTAAAATAGAGCTGTGAGTAAAAATGTGTGAATAAACATATTTCCTTATAGTTACATACTTATTAGGATAACGCTTAATGCAAATTCCTACATAGCTGCTTTGGAGTTCTTCACCTGACCGGGGCTATGGTGTCGGATTCATTAGTATGGTCAGTATGTGTCTGTTAACTCTCATCTGTCATGTTCTTTTGAAATTATCCTAAAAATCAGCATGACAGCATCAAGTCCGGAATGCAGACAAGTAGAGAGGAAGGTATATAGCCACATCTGTCAGCCACTTATTAAGGACTGTTGTATAAATCTTACGATTTTGAGTCTTCAAAAAGACCTGAGTTTCTAAAGACTTGAAACTTGGAATCACAGAATTAATTTGAAGAGCCTTATCATGGGAAAACGAAGCAGTTTTGATATAGCTTTTTGAAAATAGGTTGAGGATCCTAAATTAGAAATCACTAATCTGATCACTTTTTTAGGAAACTGAAGCACAAAAAAGTAAAATTTCTCACAGTATTACAGAGCTTATGGCAGAATTGGGACTTAGAATTGAGGTCATCTGACTGCAAATCCAGCAGAATGCACTGTACCCCCAGTGCCTTTCTCCCCCGACATAGCTCTTAATGCTGTCTTTACACAGGCACATTTCTCCATTGTCTTAAGTAATCCCTTTTCTACAGAGGAATTTCATAATCACAAAAAATGGTTGAGGTGTTTTGGTTTTGTTTTCCACTTTCATATTAAGACTTCTTTCCTGTCATTTTCAGAAATTAACCCTGCAGCATGTGAACAGTAATCAGTGCCTGGATAAAGCCACAGAAGAGGACAGCCAGGTGCCCAGCATTAGAGACTGCAATGGAAGCCGGTCCCAGCAGTGGCTTCTTCGAAATGTAACCCTTCCAGAAATATTCTGAGACCAAATTTACAAAAAAAGAAAAAAATAAGGATTGACTGGGCTACCTCAGCATACATTTCTGCCACATTCTTAAGTAGCAAAAAAGGAAAAGTGCTTTCCTCCTGCAGGATGTAAGGTTTATCAGCCATTAAAACTTAAACTGCTTTCTCTTTCACTAGCTGTGAACCGGCCTTCCTGTCCAAGGACGTGAAACTACGTTAGTAGCGAGATTGTGCACACTGATGTTTACAAGATTAAGAGTCTTTCATCAGGAATCATTGTAAAGAATATTCAGACTGAAACAATCTACGAAATGTGCTTTCCAGAGAGCTGCACCTTTTATGGTTTGCTTGCACATCAGTCATTTCTGCTGAATGTGCTGTTATAATGAAGAGATGTCCAAGATTTTTTTTCTGATTAGAACTGGTAGCCAGTACATTAAATATTGATATAAAAATAAATGAAAAAGAACTGGAACCAGATTCAGAATCATGAAAACATTTTTACAATTAAAAAGACTATATTAAACAGGGTTTAAAGGAAATTAAAACAGAACTATGAGAAGTACAATTTGTTATAGTATAGTATCAAATTTCTATATAGATTTTTATACCTCAGTGGGGGAAAATAACTGATTCCAATGACATTTCATTCTGTTTTCATCTGTGATAGTCATGGATGCTTTTTTTTTCCTTGGGGTGCTGAAATTGAGCTGAAAAAGTGGCTCCTTGAACGTAGTTTTAATTGCTTTCTACAGTTGTTTTTTTTATTTGGTTTGTGGGCTGTTGGAATTGTAATTTTTAATTGCCTTCAAAAAATGGAGATTTAAAATAATGTCTGGTTTCACTGAACAAGTTTGATATCTCAGTTGCTCTTGGGTCAACTGGCTTATAGACTTTCTCTCACACACAAATTTCTTATTAGATTTTCAACTTCCTAACTTGATTCAACTGACTATGTTTAATACCCAAGATTCATACTACTGTACTACAGATTTGTTTTCACAGCAATAAATCTTCTGTTCTTTGTTTATGATTCCACTCAATAGACGGCCTGCAGAAGTGATTTATTATTTGGGTATTTGGAGATGATACGTTTGATGGTTTTTTGGAAAAAACTTTTTTCACTCCATACTCAGATGTGCTTCATTGTCAAGTGCATATTTAGATTAGGTTCTTGAATTGTAATGTTGATCTGCTGCTTTTTTTTTAATAAAATTTGACTGAAAATGTTTAATTGGCATTTTTTAATGAGTTAGCTGAAGAAGTGCAGCTATTATTCCATATTATTAGTCCTGCATTTCTTCCCTAAATTGCATTTAGGTTAAATCTGTTTTATTTTTCTGATTTTTAATACAAGATAACCTGAGTATTGATTAAAGTTGAGTATCAATTAAATTGTTTTAATTATCGAAAGAAAATCTGATTGTGACATTTTTCCTGATACGTGAAGCAGTCCATTGGCAAAAGTGCATATATTTTTCTTCCTATTTGTAAGATTATATTTAATGATATTTTCTTTGTCAAAGGCTCTCACTGCAGGCAGTGCTATTTCTTGTGCCTAAAAATGTTGTTGCATCACTAATGATGCTTGCCAAGTTGAGTGTACAGAAAGTTTCTCATATCCTATTCGTTAATATCAAGCACATGTGGATGCTTTAGGGTGAGGCTGTAGTACAGAATGCACAAATTTTGTCCCCAGGAAATCTGAGACAAAGGAGGTGCTGGATGGGGTTTTTTTCCTATTCCATGAGCTGTGTTAATTCTATCTTTGGTAGGCCTTATGCTTGAATAAACCAGATGTCTAATCAATAAATTATTTTCATGCTCAGAATTTCAGGTTTTTGTACTCTAGTGTAGGTTGGTCTTATTTCTTACTGTAAGAAAACTTAACAGCAATGTAATTTAAGGTTTTGTTGTGTTTTTTTAAGAGGGGGATGTGAGTGATTTAATTCTTGGGTACTTTTAGAA